TGATTTTATAAACAAAAATATATTTGAAATAATATTAGTTAATATTTTTTTTATTTTTAAATTCCATTAAAATATTATTGCTATTCTGTCAGTTAAAAATTGTATCTTTAGCATTTATTCGCATGCGTCAGTCACATTGAGATGAATGTGGTCAGCACTTGTTTTTGTTTTTAACCTTTATAATTTATTTATTTTTATTAATATTTTTTGGTTGCGCATTATGATTTTTGTCAAAACAACCTATTGACAAATTGTAAAATAATTTAAATATATACATATATTTATAAATATGTATACATATTTTTTTTTTTTTTTTTTTTTTGGTGAGGAGGTGCATAAAGCATTCTTTATGCACCGTCAAACCGACTGTCGTCAGAATTGTGTGTCCGACTCCCTAATATTAATATGTAATATATGAACTAAAACATCACCTCTTCGGCGAGACTTATTCCCCCTCGGAACAGCTTTCACATTACTTCGAGAAGGGTCTCTTTTATGTTGGCATTTCAAGCCACGTTTTTGTAATTTTCGATCTGCGTCCAGACTTCCAATTTTTCACCAAATATTCTTGATGTCTGCACTATTTATTATTTCAGTTTCTGATTCTCCTTTTTAGGTCTAATTTCTTCATTTTGAGGACTTGAATCACATATGACTCTATCGTTTGCCAACTCTCTGGGTTCGCTCTCATCTTTCCCACTATTTTTTCGGGACTTATTGGTCCAAGCTGTGCTATTATCTCTTCTCTATTAGTGAGCCACTTATTACACTAAAAGAAGGAGTGCTCTACGTCGTCATAGTCTCCATCACCATAAATGCAATCGGGTAAATTCATCTTCCCAATGCGGTACAGGTACTTACAAAAGTATCCATGTCCGGTCAGCATCTGAGTGAGATAGTAATTTGTATCTTTCGATTTCCTTTTGAGGCAAAGGATTATATTTGGTATCAGTTTAGCTGTCCATCTTCCTTGAGTGCTATTGTTTCATCTTTGTTGCCACATTTCGAATGATTTACTTCTGATCTTCTCTTGCCATTTGTTGAGTATAGTAACCGATAATATACATATAAAGTATATTAATTTACCATAGTAAACAAAAATAAAATTACTTTTTTAAAGTTAACATTTACAATAACCATAAAATAATACGAAAAATGTATTAAAGTAGCTTGAAACCATATCCTTATCTTTACTCTCTACAATACTTTTTTAATCAAAATATTATATTATAAATTAAAAAAAATTGCTCTTATACCTATAATATACATAAGAAGAAATAATTAAAACAAGTAGATATCTTAAAATGCAAAAGTTTTGAACTTAGCTCCTTGGTACGTAACCAGTGAGGGAGCTTGAGTGCCTAGGAACCACTTCCCTTAAAATGAATCGAAAGTTTAAATGTATATAAAAATGATAATATTATTAAAAGGCAAATTTTCAGCACATGGAGAAGTCGAAAACAGATTTCTGCACATCTTTTCTGTACATCTAGAACATAAATAGGAAACCATACATGCTGAATCTCAATGCTGTAATATTTTGCGGGCAAAAAAAAATATTCTTCTCATAATCAAAAATAGCCTAAGATAAGTCCTTATGCAAAATTAAATCAAATTATAAGTTCAATCAAGCTTAAAAGTTTGTCACTCTAATCTATTTCGCCAAAGAAACAGGCTCAGCTTCAATTTGAAACATCCTATTTGCATGTTACATACTCTATAGTCATAGTAATAGTCGTGGGCTGGAAAATCAAGAGACGATTTCATAACCGCTACTTAAGTCACAATACTGACTTAAGTCATACAACATCATCCATTATGCTGACAATTCATACTTAACCCAATTTTAAGATTTCCGTTACGTCTATAATACCGGGTATAACTGTCCATAATACTGCGTCCATTGTTAGACTATTGCATCTTGCACTTTCTAAAGTTAGTGAAAGATTTCTTTTACTTCAACTATAACACAAAAAGTCATAAGATTATCTTGATTAATTCGAATTTGTGAAACAATTTTTTGTGGAATCTTCTTTGGACATTCGTTGAAGGATATATAAAAATGTTTCTGTATCTTCCATATATTATCTGCATTTATCGGTTTATGCTTGTTCAAAATGCAGTTACTAATTATCACTTCAATCACTGTTTTTAAATCTAAACTGTTTAGATTTAGTAAGTATTTGCTTTTCTTATCAGAATATTTCGAAATGAAAAGCTTGTTGTAGTAGGATCCTCCCTGGATAAACCATTTCCGTTAGACTTCACTGATATTGTCTAGTTTAGGCATGTTTTCGAAATGATTTCTGCTGACATCCAGCAAACATGGGCACCGGCTCATACTCTTCAAAAGCACTTAATACTTTTCAGTAATTTGCTGAATGATAAACAGAAGTATAGTCGATACAGCATTTTTTCTAAAAGCCGAAAGCAGCATTTTATCACAAAAACCACAGACCCTCTACTTTTCTCCCTAGATACAATTTCTAATTACGAGCTTGTATCTTTAACTAAAATTATTAAAAAACTGTAGGTAAAAAGTATGTTCAATTGCACACTTCCATGAATAATTCGAATTAAAAATTATTTATTGAATTTATTTTCATTAACACAATGTAACCAAAGATCTATAATATCTCTTTTCATACACTTAGTATACTAATCACTATTTTATTATCTTGTAGTACAACATTGTACTCGTAGTTCAATATTGTTATTCATTTCTTTCAATTTGACTGCAAACACTAAAAATTTAAACTAAAAATTTTTAATAGTGCTTTCATTTGTCATTAAAAAGATAATAAATAGCACTTTTTTAGTACTATGAGAATCACAATAGTATATATAAATCACTATTTCTATTATAAATTGTGTTTATAAATAGTTTAATATAATTTACGTGTATATGCCAAATGTATTTGGTAGTGAGTTCTTCGAACATCGAGCCTAAAATGTTTGAGAAATGTATATGCTAATGATAAGTATCTATCAACAAATTATATTATATAAATATTTGTACTTATTTTTGATATGCAAAAATATATGTACTGTTTTTATTGTTTAAACATTGGATAAGTTTTAGATGTATGGTGTATCTTATAGGCTTTTGCTACTAAATTGGCATTGACAGTTTTAATCACAAGTTCCAAATCACATTAACAAATTTTAAAAAAATATTGCTATTAAGAAAATATTATCAAATCATATTTCTCAATTACCACAAAGCGTTCTTAACAGCTTTATATCTAATATATCCTTAATCAGATGGCAACAAATATTGAATTGTTTTTCTTTTTTTGAATAAGTGATATATAGCCACAACCTTCACTTCTATCTCATGGTTATCAAAATGATGCCTCTCTATGGGAGTATCATTTATAGTCATATTTCAAAGAACTGAAGCTAAATGATATCTTTTGACCAGATACAGAATTGATCTATACAGCAAACTATAAGTTCTTTTTATAATAATCAGTTTTTATCAAGAAATGGGTGGGTATTTTTGTTCAATATTTTGCTTAAAAGAATTTATAGTTATTCACATTTAAAATCCAAAAGCGACATTTTGATAATCTAACATTTATACTCCATTAGTTATATCTTGTTTTTCTTATTTTATATGAGAAAAATCATGAAGTCAATATTTTTAACTTGAAGATAGATGAAGGCTTATAAAGACTGTTTATAATTTTTATGTAATTTAAAGTTAATGTATATAATATGAATATACTTTTTTGAAATATTTAAATTACAGATAATATAGTCCTCCGTCGTATATGAAAAATCCATTAAACAAAAAAATATTTTTCTTAAAAAATATTGACTTCATCAGAGAAAACTGTTTATATAGTCCAAAATAGAATAAAATGGCTTCTGAGATAGAATAAAAATTTATAACAAAAATCTTTTTAAAAAATGCTGTTCTCACCTAAACGAGAAATTAACATAATAAAGAATTTGAAATATTTGTATTTATAAAAATTTATAAACTTAAAATATTAAACAAAAATTTTTTTTTATAAATAAGAAAACTTACAAAACAAATATTATTTCATTATATTTAGAACATACAGGATATGCTCTTTCGACAGAGTTTTTTTTTTACAATACAATGTAATTTTACTTCATTAGTGCTAAGTCAAATAGGCATTAGTTTTCTGATACTTTTGAAGATGCCGCAAGAACAAACTTTGAATTTGTTTTATTGAATATATAAGTACTATAAAACATCAAGTTAACTGAATTCTCTATAAATTTATTTTACTGTTCTTTTAAAAGTTGTGTATAATATTACTTAACATTACTTTGCTTTCTTCCGACTTCTTGTGTACCAAAAGAATTATTTGTCATAAATAAAAACAATAGTAACTTTTTTTTTAATTCTTAACTAATTTGTCCAAAAAACAAAAACAAATAATATATATAGTTTATATAGTAAAGAAATGACTCAACAATTAAGAATGTTCGTCTAAAGTAAAAAACACAAATAAAAAACTAAATACGTGCCACAATTGTATCTGAGCGAGAATAAATGCCTTAGCCTTAGTATAGCGATACTTCACACTATATAGCGAAAAATAAATAATAAAATAAAAAAATGTCACAATGAGTAATAACAATAAATTCTAGGAAAAATATTCTGTTCGCAAATAAAATACAAAACAAATCTTAAACGGATGCAACAGATGCCTTAGAAGAGATAATTTATGCAAACCTTCATTGATATTTAAAATTTTTTATTGCAATATAAACAATAAAACATTGTTACCAAAAAAAAAACAAAAAAAAAAATAAATTAGTTTAAAAATTATTTTAAAAATTATTAAATGCACACATTTCAAGTTGACTAACTTAAAAATGCAAACGAAATTATTATTAAACAGGAATTTTTATTACGTGACGTGAATGGATTTGATTCAGAAATAAATAAAAATCGATATCAATAAAAAATTCAAAAATCAGTATCTTCAAGTCATAAAAATAAATAAAGATAAAATTTTATTTTATTTTTTTACTGAATTCAGAGTGCTAAGTGTGATTGTCAAAAGTACGACGCGTATTTGAACAAAGGACTTAAGCAACGAACGTCATGGCATTGCATTACAAAGGAACACATTTCGGAGCCGCAAAAGGCAATGACCACAGGACATTATCAATAGTGTTGCTATTATTTGCCATGCTGTGTATAAGCAAGGTAAGATCGAATATAAATATATTGTATATGTGTATTGTTATGTGTAAAATATGTTAATTTGATTTCATATACATTAAGTTTAGGATAAAAATTCTCAATTTATAAAAAGAACACAAATTTTAAATGCTTTGATGAATAAAATACATACTCTTATAATTCTGAAGCTTAATACTAAAAATAAAAATAATAATAATAATAAATTATTAAGCTAGAAGTATAACTATTTTTCAATATCAAAAAAAAACAAAATATTTTAATATGAGAGATGCTTATATTTGCTATCAAGTTATTCAACAAACCTGGTACCATATTTAATTACGCATATTAATATTATTTCGGTATATATATAAAATTATTATAAGTTAACTAAAAGTCTATAGACTTATTACGTTGGTTCATTTTCATTTCAATGGGGGGCTTCTAGAATTGTACGTAGGTATGTTAATCCCTGCGTCCTTTTGCGGATTCTACTGATCTGTTTTTAAACAACGCTAAACTGTCATTAGCATTTTAAACTTATTTATTTAAAGCTCAATTATTTCTATTATTTATTATTATTTTTTGAGTTCAATAATACCATTTTTGATCCATAGTTGGACTTTAGTACACAGGGGCACCACTCTAACCTAACCTAACCTACCCACTAAACTGACAGATTTTTATTGATGATTTTAAAAGTGTAGAAGTGTTGGATATAATTATCTTATTAAAGTTTAATTACAGTATAAGAGGCTATCCATTCCGTGTTCATGATATGACAGTTCAATTTTAGTGACATATGTCAAACAAAATTGCCAATAGATATATCTTATGCTCAGTTTAAGACTTTACATTGTATAATATGCCTCGTTTAACAACCAGTGAATGTGCTAAAATTGTGAAAAATTGCTATTAGATAGATTTTTTTCAGTAATAAGGATTATTTTTTGCTTGATGGATAAGTCAATAAGAATTGTCGCTTTCAGGACAGCAAAAATATAGTAGTAACTGTCAGAAGACCATTGGATCCACTAAAAGCTGAGGCACCGGGTTCTAAAAATGTGATAAGTCCGTCCTTTTTTTGATAATGACTGCAATGTGATACAAAGCATCAATTCTGATCTGAATTAATTCTGATATAAAGATATCGATGTAAAAGATATGTGGTTTAAACAAGACATTGCCATAAATTATATAACTCGCCAGGTTTTAGCTTGTGTTTAACTTTTCAGTATAATTTTTCAAACCTTCTCCAGAACTTTCTAATGCTTATTCCTTTAATATAAAAAATTCAGCCTGTATATTTTGTTTATATCCCACCTTGATTGAAGTGTTGAATCTATGTTGACTTATTCATGATATCATGTATTGTATATGTACTACATATATATATATATTATATATATAAATTATATAATGTATTATGTATATATAGTTTTGTTACCTATGTTACTCCTAAAATAATTTATTATACCCGGGTCAATAGGCATCTTTTACACCTAATAATAATTATTTTATTATAGAAATTATCTGTAGAGCTGATTTCAATTAATACCTGTAGTAAAATTATCAATTTCTGATGGCTCATTGAAATAATTATGTTATTCAAAACTACATATTTATATAATTTTAATTTATTTGTAAGTTAATATTAAAATTAATTTTAAAGTTAACTAAGAATAAGGAACTGGACTGTTAGGTTACATGATTTTTATTTTCATATTTATTATGGAATTAACTATAAAATGAAATTAACTATTATTTGTTTTGTATTTGTACTATTCACAAATCCTACTTTATCAGTTAATTGAATAAAATTCTATGCATTTGAAAGGAAATCTAATTATTTCGTATTTTTCTGTAAATCAACGATGCTAGTTGATAGCACTAATATCTCTGTTAAAGCATTTTCCTGTAATCTGAAGAAATTTTAATTTAAAAAATTTTTAGGTTGCTGTTAATCTATTATATTTAATATTAATTAATTTAAAAACCTAAAACATTAATATTCAAAGAAACAAACTTAATGAAAAACTAAGCTTTAAAAACCATTAAATCACAACCATACGAAAGTAATTTATTTTTACAAAAATTTATGCATAATTAAAAAAAATAAGTGCACCGATGTATACCAAGTACTTGTATCATAAAAATGGTCCATAATCTGCGCGGCTTCAGCATTTCATATTTGAAGTCTACGACCGAAAAATTGCTGTAACGCATCTTCTTCATTTCTCGTTTTCAATTTTATGAGTTCCACTGACCGATATTTTCACGTTTAAATCGTATTTAAGCTTTTGCTTATAACAATTAAAAAATTTGTTATTTTCTCAAAACCCAAAAAATAAAAAAATAAACAAAATAATTTGGTTTACTTTTCATTAATGTTGGTATATTTACAAATTTTCTTTGTATTTTCTGTTGACCTCAAATTTATAGTTTTTTCTTCCCATTTTCTAATAATTTTTTCTATTCGTTTATTTTCCAATTTGTTTATAGATAATCTGATTTGTTACGACAATGAGTGAGAGTTTTTTCCTTCCTAGTTTTCGGGAAAAGTGCTTTCATGCAAACGCTGTACAAAATTGATGCAAGTCAATTCGTATCAGTTAAGCCATAAATAAATTGATTTAGAAAATCTTATTAATTTGAAAGATCTTTGAGTATCTTTATGTTTAGAGAAACTCTTTAGACCTACAATGGTTGTTTTGCCTCTTTAACGTACTTATGTACTTAAATATGTGCAGTACTTTAATAGTGCAACCAACAGTGAAAAATGCTTACTAATAGTAAATGCATACAATAATTGTGAAAATAAATTAATTTAATTTTTAATTATTTGAGACAATATTTGAATTGGAAAAATTTTAATTAATATTTAGTGCAATAAATTTTTAATTTCCTTAATTTACTAACTTGTCATCACAAGATATGGTTATATTATACCAGCTTCGATATATATCATGTATGTATAGTGTATGAAATCCCTATAATAAATATATAATAAATATATAATATATATATATAATATATATATATATATATATAATATATATATATATATATATATGTATAATACCACAATAGTTTTTAGTTTTATCCAGTGCTAAGTATTTTTCAGCAATTGCCAATTTTGCCCGTTCTGGGTCCGTTCTGATCTCCCCGACATACCAATTTGGTAACAGATTTTTAGTAGAGGCAGATATTTTGAGCAATATTTCCAACCTCTAATAGAAATACATTGTGACCGAAAAGTTTTCGGGAAATTTTAAATAAAACGCAAAATTCTTAACCTTCATCAATATTTATTTATCTCCTTCAAAATATGCTCCATTAGAAGCGATACACAAATGCCAACGTTTCTTCCAATCATCAAAACATTTTTTATAGGCGCTTTCCGGTATGGCTTTGAGTTCCCTCTGCGAATTCTGTTTTACGTCTTCTATGGATTCAAAACGCGTTCCTCTGAGTGGTAATTTGAGGTTGGGAAACAGGAAAAAGTCACACGGTGCAAGATCAGGTGAATACGGTGGCTGTTCGATGGTATTTATTGAATGTTTGGCCTTAAAATCGTTGATAATGTTGAACAAATTGAGGTGAATCGGAACAAGCCGGGCGTTGACACGTCGCATACACAAATTGTCCACCAAAATCAAACGAGCCATCTCACGACCGATGCCTAGCTCTCGTGCTATCTCTCTAACACTCACATGAGGATTTTTGAACACGATTTCCTTTGCCTTTTCAATGTTTTCGTCGGTGGTAGAGGTCGAAGGTCGTCCAGAACGCGGCATGTCTTCGACGGTCGTACGACAGTCCTGAAAGGCTTTGTACCACTCATAAACTTGAGTTTTCGATAAAACTGATTCCCCATAAGCCTTTTGTAGCATTCGCAACGATTCTGCACACGAAATTTCGTTCGAAAAACAAAATTTGATGCAAACTCTTTGTTCAATATTTTTTTCCATTGTTTTTTTCGCAACGCACTACTGAGGTGAACTGGTTTCAACAGCTGCCGTAAACGAACTGTCTGACAGATCGCGCTCATTTTTGGCATAGTAATTAAGGACAGTGCTGCCAAACTACATAAACTTAAAATATCGAAAAATATACAGCGCGCGAATTTTAAATGAGAATTTCCGAAAACCTTTCGGTCACAATGTACATGTTTTAAGATTAATTTTTTTATATAATAAATAATTTTATATGTTTAATAATATATAATGAATCTGCCAGGTTGAACGGGATGTTTGTATTTAAATTATACAATTCCATCAATATTAAATGATATTAAATTAATTAATAAATATTAATGTATTAACGAATAATAATATAAAATAATATTAAATTGAATAATAATAATATATTAAATAACACTAAATAATAAAATTTAATATTTATTATTTAATAAGTATTAATAGTAATAAAATTAATATCGATAATATAAATATCAATAAATTTAATATAAATAATAAAATTTAATATTTATTATTTAATTCAATTAATGAATTTTAATCAATAAAATGAATTCTTAATTGTCAACGTTTTTACTCCTTTATAAAAATTTATATAAAATAAATAAATATTAAAAATTTTTTATAAAATATAATTAAATCAAAAAATTTAATATACAATATACATAATATATTTATTTACTTATAATATATAAGTAATTCTTAATTTACAAAATTATTCGAAATAGATTAATGAAACAGATTCAAGCTTAAAGATCACTAATAATACATATATTATATTATATAGTAAATATTTATGTAAATGAAAAAACTAAATGAAAAATAATACAATAATAATAATTTATTAGTAAATTCACTTCATCGTACGTGCTTTATAGGAGATGTTCAAATATTACATAATCGGATACAAGTCATATGTATTTAAGCTATATTAAACAGATTATGGACACATCTACGTAAAGTAAATATCATATTATATATACTTATTTTCTTTAAAAAATTGTAAAAGTGCTTTTTGTTATCGATTTAATTATATATTTAAGCACT